CCGGCAAACTCCATCACGGTTTTCTCAGCCGAAAAATAAGCAGCTGGCAGAAGCCTCTTGGTTGTTTCGGAAGCCAGGGACAGTCCCAGCCCCGCCATCCGTGCGCGGTGGCTTTGGGAAGCTCTGCTCGGAGCCCCGAGCATCCCACGACCCTAAGGAGGGTTCAGGGTTGGGGTCCTTCCCACGGCACCCCGATTGCCCCCGGGGTGGAACGGAGCCCGGCTGGGCACCCGCCGGCACGTACGGATCCGGGAGGCCCAAGCCCTTTGGGAAGCTCGATATGAATGATTTAGGAACAATTTTTGGGTTCTTTCCTGGAGGGAGCTTGCATTTGCATTTGAAAACTGCGGGGGGGCTGGTGGGGGGCTGGGAGTGCAGGCTGGGCGCTATCAATGGGAAACTGTTCTGGCCGGCGCTGCCGGGGCCAAAAAATGTGAACTCTGCAGATTTCTGGCTCCGTTCACGGTCGGAGTCGCTGGCTCCGTTGTCGCTGCCCGGCTGCTCCGCGCCCAGCTCTGAACGGTGCCTCTCGGAAGCTGGTTTTCCTTCGCTGCCAAAGCAGAGCGGGGTTTTGGGAAAGATGGGGGTGGAAGGGGGTGCCCGGGATGTGAAATGGGGAGGGATCAGCTCACAGCATTTGGGACCCGGGAAGCCTTTACGCCAGCGGGGTAACCTGCCCCCAGTGCCTGCCCGCACCCCGCTGCGCCCATCCTTCGTCCTTCCTCACCCGCTCCTGTGGGTGCCCTTGCTGGGGATGGGCATCTCCTGCATGGGAGCACCCTCCTGCCACCGTGCGGGCTGCGTCCTCCGTATCCCAGTGCGGGAAGGATGCGTCCCCTGGGCAGCAAGCGGAGGGAACGGGGAGAAAAAATCGGTAAATGGTGTAAAATGTGTGTTTCCTTTCTTTCTTTTCTTTCTTTCTCCTTCGCCCAGGAGAGGCGTGAGGGCTGACTGGCACCATGCCGCTGGTGAAGAGGAACATCGAGCCCCGGCACCTGTGCCGGGGGGCTCTTCCCGAGGGGGTGACGAGTGAGCTGGAATGTGTCACCAACAGCACGCTGGCTGCCATCATCAAGCAGCTGGGCAGCCTCAGTAAGTCCCAGTGGGGGATGGTGCTGGGGTGGTGGGATGCTGGTGGGACACCATGGTCGCTTGCTCCAGTTCCAATCACGGAGAAACGGGCACTACATGTGAGCCAGGCTGGCTGCAGCCACCCCCAGTTCAGTGGGAATTATCCAGCTGATAAATCCAGGAGGATGCTCCGTTCCAAGCCCAAAGCGGGGACTTGGTGACGTTTTGAAGACCCATTTTCTCCCGTAGCTGGTCTGTGTGGTGGAGGATGACAAACCTTCATGAGCTCCTTGCTTCTCGGCTTGGCTGGAAATAGGAAGGTCAGGTGAAGATTAAAAAAGCCCCAACCCTTTTCATTCTTAGAGCTTTCTGGGAAAGAGAAGTCTGTATAAAAGGTCTCACTCCTCGGGCTGCTGCCTGCCCTGGGGCTGGTTTCGGCAGGAGAGGGGAGGACAATAGTGGTGACTTGTTCTGCTGCTGAATATCGCTTCAGGCAGGCACGCGGAGGACATCTTCGGCGAGCTGTTCAATGAAGCCAACAGCTTCTACATGCGGATGAACTCGCTGCAGGAGAGGGTGGACCTGCTGGTCATCAAGGTGACGCAGCTGGACTCCACCGTGGAGGAAGGTGAGGGGCTGGGGCTATTTTGGGTGCTGGCCGGGCACGAGTGGGTGGGGGATGCGTGCTTGGGGCTGAGCCACCTGCTGTGCCCGTTTCAGGGGGCTGAGGCTGCCCCTGCATCCCTTCTCCCTCCTGTCCCCCCAGTTTCACTGCAGGACATCAACATGCGGAAAGCCTTCAAGAGCTCCACGGTGCAGAACCAGCAGGTCGTGTCTCGCAACTCCATCCCCAACCCGGTGATGGAGATGTACCAGCGCTGCGACAAGCCTCCCCCACTCAACATCCTCACGCCCTACAGGTAGGGTGGCCGGAGCTTCGCTTCTTGGGGAGACCAAGGAGGTCCTGGGGGGCCCTTTCCTGGAGAGGCATCGGGGGTGCACCCCGTTTGCTCCTTGGCGAGGGCTGAGAGGCAGTTTTCTCCGGTTGCTCCACCACCATCCCCGTTGCGTAGGGCGCAAGGTAGTGACCACTGGGTTGGACATCTTCATGGTGGGGCAACAGCTTATGGCCATGATCGTACTAAACCGTCCTGTGCAAGGGAAGAGAGGGTCTTCTCCTGTGGCTGATAACCCCCTCTCCTCCCTCCCAACCCCCCAGGGATGACAAAAAGGACGGCCTCAAATTCTACACCGACCCCTCCTACTTCTTCAACTTATGGAAGGAGAAGATGTTGCAGGCGACAGAAGATAAGAGAAAGGAGAAGCGCAGGCAGAAGGTAACGGGCAGGTGGGGGACACCAGGAGGGGCTGGGGGGGGGCTGGGGGGGGGGGCCCCCCCCGGGG